GAAGCACATAGAGAGTGTGATTTGGAAAATTTTTATTAAGGTTAGTCTATAAGTTGAAGAAATTACATCCCAAAATTTTGACGTCCTAAAAATACTCTAGATTGAGTTTCATCTAAGGGAAAAGTTTATGTAGAGCCTAGGCTCTAAACAATCAAATTAGAGCCTACTTCAAAGCATTCACTAGAAGAGGTTGTTTTGATGCCCGAATATCATCAAATTGATCATCTCGATATCAAGATGCATGGACATGAGAAGAAAATGAATTTCAAGTTTTGGAAATAATACATCTTGTAACGTATCTTTCGACTGACAATTTTTAAGATTTTCAAGTTTTCATAGATTTGATCGATCTACACTATTTTTGAAGCGTTAAATTTTATAACTAAAGATGAAAATATAATTTAAGGCTATCACAAAACTTTCTTGCATTGAAACATATTTCTCGATACTATTTGAAGGTGGGCTCAAATTTGATTGTTTAGAGCCTCGGCTCTATACAAACCACACCCATTTGAGGATATTTTGGCATCAAAACAACCTCCTCTAGTAAATTTTTTGAGATAGGCTCAAATTTGATTGTTTAGAGCCTCGGCTCTATATAAACTTTTCCCTTTAAAGAATATCATTCCCTAATCGTCAGTAATAAATATCCAAAATCTCCAAGCGTATTTGATAACAGGAAATTAGGGGAGGAAGAAGGAACTTCCCCATTATTATACACTAAACTTATACAGTAAAGAAGTTCCATTGAAAACTTCTTTATTCCTTTGTGCTTTAGAAAAAAAGTTCTATCTAAAATGATAACTTAAAATAGGAACTTGGTTCCTCAAACCCTATGCCTCCCTCCTTATATTTTTTTTTGTTTGTATTATATTATATTACATTATATTATATTATATATATTATATTATATATTTTATTTTTGTAATAAATGTTTACAATACAATAAATATTATATATTGTTTTATGCCTAATATAAAAATAATATTTAATATATTATATTTTAATAATATTTAAATAAATGACTTTATATTTCAAGAGGTTTGTCAAACACATGTACTTAGAACTTCTTTAACATTCCAACAAGTTATTAAAC